CTCTCTCTCTCTCTCTCTCTCTCTCTCTCTCTCTCTCTCTCTCTCTCTCTCTCTCTCTCTCTCTCTCTCTCTCTCTCTCTCTCTCTCACTCTCTCTCTCCCTTTCTCTCTCTCTCTCTCTCTCTGCATGTCTGGAACTTTTGTGTCCCTGCAACCTCATGACCGCCACTTTCATGGACTAGCCAAGGAATACCCAGCGCCGTTTTGTTGAAGCATACGTTTTGTTGGAGCGGGTGAAGTCGACGTGGGCTGCCTGCGAACGCCGAACGGCACCATGTGGACAGCGGTGGCGGATGGAACCTTTACCAGTTGGGACTGGCGGCGAATGGAATCGGCAGGAAATGAAACCTGTGGGGAAGTCGAAGCCGCCGGCACGAAGAGCCGTGGTCTGTGACAGGTGCGTGAGCTGCCGGGAATGGAGCCGGTCACGAAACTCACATGTGACGTTTTCGGGTGCCTCGGACATATTTAAATGCGTCATTGAAGGGACAGCAAGCGTGTGACTGGGTGTCGCACGCATGGCCATGCTGGATCTTTTCCTGGTGGTAGCTGGCAGGTGCATTGTGCAATGGCAATTGGTGTGTGCTCAGGGTAATGCAAGTGTACGCCTGCATCCGTCTGCAGATTCTGCGAATGAAATAGCCCTGCCTGCAGGACGGCCTCAGGTGTCGCAATGCACCCGACAGTAGATTTTAATCCATCAGTGCCTAGACCACTGCTTTACGCAATACCACCATGCAGAATGCCTTGCAGAAACGGGGGATATATTCAACAGTAGGAAGAACTCGAGAAGAGGTAAATTCACTGCTTTCATTCCTCCTTCAACCTAAAAAAACAGTGACATCTTTCAAAAATGTTCACAATGCCCAATGCCGTGCGACTTCTCACAGCGGCATGATGTACTTTCCTTAAAAACACGAATGGACTAAAAAAATGACTGTCATTATGCTTACCCTCATTTTTGCTGTCATTACATTGGCATATTGAGCTTGAAAACCTGGAAATGAATCGGAAAAAGCATGCGATATTGGGAAGGATCAGCTGATCTGCACTTTCCCGCATATTTCATCATGTCTGGGTAAAGATACACATACTATCAATCAGCACGAGCATCAATCTCTCAACAAAGGCGGAATTCCTCGCTCCTTCAACTAATTCAGATGTTAAAACGTGCATTCTTATTTGGGCGCCTATCTGAGCCCCTTGATATTTTTGCAGAACGACGACTTCGAACTCCTGTCGATTTTTCTCTTCAGCTTCCGACTTTTGAGCTGCTCTTGAACGACGCGGTGCAGCCCCGCTAAACTTCACACAGCGGTAGGCAACTAAATGGCCGTCTTAGGATTTATAAAATCAAACGCACGTCATAAAGTCACTGAATTACCGCAAGTCAAAGTTAAACCATGGCTGGATCTTTCAAGCTGATGCGGCGCCGGAGCGTTAGACGAAGTCATGCAACTTTGCGATGGTTTGTTAGGAAAAAGACAATTCAAAGCAGCATCACAACTAATACCATTGACCTTGGGTCAGTCATGAATGCATAGAACATGCAGCATTTTTCTGAAAAAAATTATATTAAGAGGACATTTTTGATGCCGATTTCTAATTCCTTAATAACAGGGGCGTCCGCACACTTTTTGCTGCAACTTTATTAGGTAGAGGGATTAAATGGCCTAATGCAACCTAGTTAAACCTTTTACCTCGGGGAACATGCCACACAGAGTAATTCCTGGCAATGAATGTAAATTCAAATAAAAGTGTGACGCAAGGTAGTCCTTTTTGCCCTTCCAGAATTATATCAAAGAGAGTGTTCCACATTTGTATGGGGTCTTGAACAGAAATAGCCATCTTAATCTAGCCATCTACACGTCCGCAAAGATGAGCAAACCATTTCATGCAAAATTTTGCCAGGTCACTCAATCATCCATGACGCCAGGCACAATAACGTCTTTCAAATCCTGCCATTTCATTGGCTATGCATTGCTCAGCACCAAAATGTGTACTTGTCGGGTCATTCATATCTGACATTCGTGAGTACGATTTTCAGATTTTACGATCGTCAATTGGCTCTAAATCAATGTTGTACAAGATAAAATGACCCAATCGAACAATGGCGTATTGAGCATATTTACTGAAAAGGAGAAGCTCTGTTGTCTAGAGCAGCCTTTTCTATTCAACAGTATACCGATAGATATAATATAATAAACTGTAAGTAGGCTTATTTCATCACGCCTGGTGTCTTCTTCAATGCCTTCGATGTGGAACATTCCCCTTAATGTCACTGAACCGATATGAATACAATTGGCATTTTCGTAGAAAAAGGATCTTGGTTAACACTGGCTGTATGAGGGGGTCTGAGGGGTCTTCGGAAACCAACATCAAGCTTTACCTTGATCGAATTCACGTTTCCCGAAGTCCACGACGGAGAACCTAAACATTTGAAATAACTAAGTCTGCATATGCCCATACCTGCCCGATGAATTTCGTGTCCCTAGCTCTCTTAGTTTTTATATTTTAGGGCGTCAAATTGACCTCCATCTGAGTGGGTCACATTTAACCCGCCACCCAGGCACGTGTTGACCCGCGCCCGGCTGTGGGGAGCAATTAACTTCCTCCCGACGATTTTTCGAGCACAGGTGAAAAACGACTGCTCGAAGCAACACGAAATTTTCAGTGCTTGTTCATTTACCAATTTTGCATTCTTTACGGAAGTTTGAAGACCTGATCTACCAAGATCAGTGACCTACATCACGCCAAAGAGGTCAACCTTTAAAACATTTTGACCACACCGAGCTCGTTTGTGGTTCAGTTGCCATTGTTCAAATTTGCTGTAGCAATGGAAACGGATAATACCTACAGCTTGCATATTGCATATCTTTTTGTTTAGAAAATCGAGGTTATCGACCTGAAGTCAAGTCATTTATTGCTACTTTTGTACATTGTGCAAAATTGGAGGTGAGCTGTGTAGTTTTGATGTTTGCATATGGGGAAAAGAGTGCTAACTTACATGTAAAACCATCATATAACCATAGTTTACATGACCCTGGCCCAGATTATTCATGACTTATTTCTGTGGGTACCTTCTGCAAAGCACATGCCTCGGTCAAAATTGGCAGTTTTATCAGGCAATTTTAGACGCAGAATTCGAATACTCCAATGACCACCTGTTTTATTATTATAATGCATAATAAGGTCACAGTACGTAACCTGAGGACAGGCAGGGTTATATGAGGTCATTCAAGGTAAATGACCTATGTTGCCAGTAACGGAGAGGCTAGACGAACGGGTTAGACGACTGTAACCACCTCCTTATCGCATTTGTGAAGCTGATGGCGTATAATTTCATAAACCAATGTACCTGTTCTCAGTTTGTTACAAGTACATGGCCAAGCGCAAAGGGATTATGTGTAATGTAGACAACAGCTATGCACTCTTGGGTACCACTTGCTCTGCAATGCACTATTTCTGAGCACAGAAAAGCATTGCACTGGCCACATAGACCTGGTTCACACTTGAATTTTGTCTATTAGCTGGTTAATAAATTTTGCCTAAGTTGACCTCAGATGACCCCCAGGTCAGTCTAACCTGGTATTTTGGGGTCGGGAATACCTTTTCCACAGCTGCACCAAGTAACATAAACTCAGAAGCACGTTTTGAAGAAAAGTGGCGTTCTTGTAAGCTGTTGGTAGACCAATTTTTGAACGATGACCTGATTTGACCCGACCCATTTGGGAGAAAAGAAATTGTTGGAATAGGCTCCACACCGTTTTAAAGCTCATTTACACGCACTCAACATCAGTCTTGCCGTGTTAAAATTCGTTTTAATTACATGTATTGGAGCGCCCGTTTCTTACCTTTCGTGACATCTCGTGACCTAACATTTGACCTAGGGTCGAAAATTTTGTTTGCATTCTTTATTTTTTGACGAAACCTGTGAAACGGTACCTTTGTTCTTCTCATACGGCGTCTGGAAGTTAGAGGTCCCAGGCGGAAAGTCAACTTCTCCCGAACGGGCACATTTGTCTCTGCCCCCCGGCTGGGCACGGTTGTTTCAGCCCCCCGGTCTGGCACAGTTGTCTGAGCCCCCGGCTGGGCACAGTCGTCTCGGCCCCCCGGCCGGACACAGTTGTCTCAGACCCCCGGCCGGACACAGTTGTCTCGGCCCCCCCCCCCCCCCGGCCTGGCACAGTTGTCTGAGCCCCCCGCTGGGCACAGTTATCTCAGCCCTCCGGCCGGACACAGTTGTCTCAGCCCCCTGGCCAGACACAGTTGCCTCAGCCCCCTGCCCGGGCACATTTGTCTCGTCCCCCCGGCCGGGCACAGTTGTCTGAGCCCCCTGGCCGGGCACAGTTGTCTCAGCCCCCTGGCCGGGCATAGTTGTCTCAGCCCCCTGGCCGGGCACAGTTGTCTCAGCCCCCCGGCCGGACACAGTTGTCTGAGCCCCCTGGCCGGGCACAGTTGCCTGAGCCCCCTGGCCGGGCACAGTTGTCTCAGCCCCCTGGCCGGGCACAGTTGTCTCAGGCCCCTGGCCGGGCACAGTTGTCTCAGCCCCCTGGCCGGGCACAGTTGTCTCAGCCCCCCGGCCGGACACAGTTGTCTGAGCCCCCTGGCCGGGCACAGTTGTCTCAGCCCCCTGACCGGGCACAGTTGTCTCAGCCCCCTGGCCGGGCACAGTTGTCTCAGCCCCCGGCCGGGCTCGGGTTAACGCTTTATTGTGCCTTAGCTGGGCTTTTGTGGGAGTCATGCTGGACGTGGTGAGTTACCAGTCCTATAGCTCTATACTAGCGAATTGCATGTGTGCCACCAGGAAAAAGAACAGAAGTTAAAAATGTGAAGACAATGCCGCTGCCTGACGTGACATTACTGGCCATTACCCGGACTTTGGTAGGGGTCCATCCTTGTATGGGTACTAGGGCTGATTGCGGACGGCTGGTCACTATTGGCTCGGCACGCTATTAACATGAAGGTATAAATACAACGCTCGTGGAGGCCCTTCGCAGTGAAGCCGGGAACATCACACCATGAGGGTCTTGGTAAGCACAATGGAAGTCCGTATTCGTATTGCACACGTCAATTTAAATGCATTTTTTCGGTCTTTACGATGTGCATGATGCAAAAAAAAATTCACGGCATAACGTATGTTTTTGCGGTGTTAGCACCCCCTTGCATGTTTGTATAGGTTTTGCATTAGGTTTGAAATAGGCAAAACGATGCTTGGAATAAAGGGGATTGTCAACTGCAATTTTATAACATCTCTTAGTGCATACTTTGCCGCCTGTGTGATTGGTACTGATGCACATTCATAGGCGTTTGGGACAATTACATAGGGATGACTAATTATGTTAGGAACGGTCATTTAAAAGGTCCGGCAGTTGTATTGAGGACAGTTTCATGTGATTTAGAAAGAACCATAACCCATGCTTGCTACCCATGATGCCATTGAAACCAAAGGTATCCCTGCGCTAGCTTTGGCTCGAGGATGACGCAAAGTTTATTTGAAACATGACTAAATGTTTGCTATATATCTAGCAATCTGAAGGAGCTCAAAATTTAGGCAGAAATCTCACCGTTCCGTGAACACGATCCAAAGAGTACGTGAAGAACAAAGCCTTCGGCTTCTTGATCTCTTGGGTATGCGTAGTACGTGTGCCAATTTATTTTACTTCATGAGTGCTTTGCACCCCCCCCCCCCCCATGTTGTCATGCTTTCCAATGTTCGTGTGGGCTCATATATTTGTGCTTGACCGTTATAAGAATCGAGGAAATAGTTTAATCATAGTAACGCGCAAAACACACCCTCTTTGACAGCAGAGATTTTTGGGCACGTCGGCTACGGCGGACAATTATCTTCATAGTGCATTATTGGATGGTCATGTCTACTTTGCTGCAAAATAAATTGCTGCCGACACATTGATACAAAGAAAAAAAACAAACTAAAGTTCATCAAAAACGGCCTAAATTTGCTCAGAAACACCATTTGGGAGCGACAGGCTTTAAGCCCTCGCCCTCCATCTACTCCCCAACAATTCGTGCAAACCAATGCTACCGATGTGATATCAAGGCGAAGCAGTAATAGTTATCGTGTCCTATCGGGCTGTATACTTGGACAAGTTGCAGATATTTGGCCCGAGCAAGTGTTCCAATATGAGTCAAAGTAGTGAAAACAACGTTTTTAAACTTTTTGGCCCATATTACCGCCATGGAATTGGCATGGGGAAGAAAGGAAAAATAATAACGTTGCAAGGCGGCCACACAAAGCGGGACCCTGTAATATGGTAGTCATATCACCAAAGCAGTTGCGGTGTTTTTACTGCCTGACGTTAAACGATGGCAATCAGAGGCAATGCTATGTTTCTAGGCACGGGAGGCGTTGTGTTCCGTACGCTACGGACACAAATTGGGAGACTAAAGCCGAAATGATCCCAGCGGTGCACACCATGTGGTGTGTATGCTTCGTGGCCAGGCGTCCGGATCGCGCAGACTGGGCGGGCGCGCAAATAACGCATGACGATGTGCGCGCCAACGTGCGGTCCCTATAAGTCAACGACCGTCAACTGGTGCCAAAACGCAGCTGCCGGTCGGGTGCCCATCTGGGTCCCTACAACCTTGATGGTGCAAGGAATCCTTCACAACACCCTGAATTATTCCACAACCAAGAGGTGTCTATTTGTTTATGATCACTCTTATTATTTTTAACAATGTTGTTCACGGACGATCCATTCACAGGCAGATATTCTCGCATCACTGTTCGCCGGCGAAGATTCGTCTCCCCACTGATTGAGCCAGACAACGTCCAAGTGCCAAATCTTTGCTGAGAACTATGACAACATGTGTTAGCTGTGTATTAAAATAAAAACGAAATCAAAACGCCATGATAAATTATTTTACATGCACATATAAAACATAACTGCCACTAGCACAGTGCTGCCTCTTGCTGTATTTGTCCATGCGCTAACCAAGTACAATTGTTCGTCAGGTGCTCCTGTGCGTCCTCGCTGTGGTCCAGTCCCGGCCATGGGCCGGCAGCAAACATCCGTTGGGTGGCAAGAAATTCTCGGGACCTGGGCTGCTTCCACCACCTGGGGTTAGGCCTGGCTTCAATCGGTTTGGTCCACCACCACCACCGCATGTGGTGGTGGTGGTGCCACCAGCGTCAGGCAGCACAAATGCAGGTGAAGGAAAAGAAGAAGGTGGGGGCAAAGGGGGAGGAGGAAAGCCCAAGGCCGCTCCAGCCGCGGCTGAAACCCCCAAAGCTGCCCCAGAGGCACCTAAGGCTGAAGCCGGTGGCTCGAAAGGCTCGAAACCCGTAAGTGGCGCTTCGGGAGGCGAAGGCGCTGGTGAAGATAAAGCCGTGGCCGCGTCTTCAGGTGGTTCTGGCGGGGATGAAGGTGGCTCGGAAGGAGAAGGCGGTGGTGGTGATGAAGCTGGAGCCGGCGGTTCGGGATCTTCGGCTAGCGGTGGTAAAGCCGTGTCCAAGTCAGCTGGCGGTGGTGCAGCCATGTCTAAGCCAACCGGTGGTGCTGATGGTGGTGATTCAGATAGTGATTCAGATAGCAGTGATTCGGATGGTAGTGATTCGGATGGTAGTGATTCAGATGGTAGTGATTCAGAAGATTCAAGTGGTGATGACGATGGAAGTGATGGCAGCAGTGGCGAAGATGACGGTTCTGACAGCAGTGACGGTGATGACGGAAGTAGTAGTGGCAGCGACAAAGGCTCTGGTGGCGATGATGACAGTGATGGCAGCGACAGCAGCGACGACAGTGCTAGCAACGGGAACGACGAAGACGATGGTGGTGACGATAGTGACAGTAGCGGTTCCGACAGCAATAGTAGCGGTAGCGACGAAGACGGTAACGGCGACAGCAACAGTGATAGCAGCGGCAGCCACGAAGGCGATGGTGGTGACGGTGACAGCGGTAGTAGCGGAAGCAGCGGCGAAGACGGTGATGGCAGTGACGACAGCGCTAGCAGTGGGAGTGACCAAGATGATGGCAACGGCGACAGTGATAGTAGCGGCAGCGACGACAATAGCAGCGGTAGCGACGCAGACGATGATGGAGATAGCGACAGTGATAGCAGCGGTAGCAACGAAGGCGGTGGTGGCGATGGCGACAGCGGTAGTAGGCGGAAGCAGCGACGAAGACGGTGATGATAGCGGCAGTGGAGATGATGATAGCGGCAGCGGCAGTGGTGATGCTGATGGTGGCGATGATGGAGAAAGTGGGGATGACGATGGAGATGGTGACAGCGGTGATGGCAGTAGCAGCGACGGAGATGACAGTGGCAGTAACAGTGGCGATGATGGTAATGGAAGTGGTGATGATGGCAACGACAGTAGCGGCGACGACGACGGAGAGGATAGTGGCAGTGATGAAAAGGGCGGCGATGGAGGAAGTCCCAGTGCTTCTGGTGACTACATTGTTTCCTGCGGCCGGTGATCAAAATCAACTGCAGCTATTCAAATTGACTGAAGGGATTCGATTAATCGCGCCATTCAGTGGAAACTACTCCAATGGTGGACATACGTGGGTATTGACAGCCAATGCCGAATATTTTAGAGCATTGTGAGTTTGTAGTCTTTATTCAACCTTTGATGCGTCGACACGTAATTTTCCCTCGTCATGGTTTCCATAGTGACCCGGTCAAGGCGCGCTCACGTTTGTGCCGTGCCATTAAGTGGCTTCAAGATCTGTGCAATCGATACCTATGCCAACCGTGTGTTGGAGCCGCATGGTTGTCAGAAAGACGTGCTCCCCTGAAATCAAGCGTTCTCGCACGCATTATTACGGATTATTTGAACTTCTAAGATGATCCACACGACTTGTCAGTCACATCGCTTGGATGTCGCATTGTGCCTCCAGGTGCAACGTAGAACTGAAGACGACCAATAGTGGTTCATATAGAAGGGGCAGCCTGTGCACAATGCAACGCAACATTAAGTCAACGGCTGGCCACAAGCTGAGAAAATCATGGACCACCATGCTGCGACATTCTTGTTATGTTGATGCTAAATGATTCGCCGAAGATGATAATTACCGGAATGTTTGGAGAATGTGCGTGGTATGATCCACCAAATATATTATCGTCGCCTATCGTGCAATGTATTAATGGACGGTATTACAAGCCAAGACATACTGGGGCTGCCGGACGGCTTCAGCATAAGTGAATTGTCGCATACTTATCGTTGCACATCAGCAGTGACAGGATGCTCGCTCTCATCCTCAAAGTCGCTCTATTGCATATTTCTGCTTGATGGATAAAATCACAAGCTGATGACTTGTTTATGATCAGTAGCATACAGGTAAAGAGCACACGGGCTGGGGGGTGGCGGCTTGGTGGCAGTCAACGATGGCTAGCTGATTGTACTCTCAGGTAGAGCTGGTAATATCTGTCTGAGTGGGGCTGGAAATGTCTGTCAAGCAGCGATTCTTTAAACAAAATGCTTGGATACAACCGTGATTTCTGAGGCTATGAAACTGCGGACGGTCGTTTAAATGAAATGTTCCACATTTTAAAATATTGCAACAAGCATCAAATATGATGAAATAAACTCGCATACAACTATTGGCATAGTTTCAAGTTGAACAGGCCGCTCAAGGTCTAAATAACCTTCAAATAGTCCTCCCGAAGTAGTCTGCGCATCTCCGCGGTCGTGAAGCTCAGAAACTAGAGAGGTTTAGGGCTGTGAACTGCACCGAATGATCTTCAAGATGGCTGTCGAAGTTAAAAATCTCACACAAAGGCGAAACACTCCCTTCAATTTTCATTTGCAAGCCACACATTCAGGATTATAAGACTTGGCGACATTTATTTTTGAGTTCGCTCCTTCTCTCCGCCTCATGTCGTTCTGAGTGACGATCAGAACTTATCTATCACCCCCTCAGAAACAATGAGCAGATTTGCACAATCTGTTTGCCTTAGGCAGTTACACCGCCGGTTCGTTCCAGCGATTAACCAGCGTGTGTTTGGGAATAAGAGACGGTTTTTCTTTCCGATGCAATCTACCATAAGAAGCCGACAGCGAAATCTGTCGCAACACAACCTTTGACTTCAATCAGTTCAGTGTCTACCAGTCGCCTTTCGTTTACGTGTACGGTCTGTACCGTCATGGTGGCAACCAATGGATCGATCTTTCGTCATTCTGACTATGGCTAGCCACCTCTTTGTTGTCAAGTTGCGGCAAATTCATCCTCAGACCTCACTTAAGTAACCTATCCTAATTGTGATGCAGCAACAAATAAAGTATCAGATTGATTAAAAGGGTATGATCACTCCCACTCAAGTTGTTTTTGTGTAGGTGATGTAAGCTCATTAGCCTGTTAAACTCGTAATATTAGCGGGCGATGTAGCCCATTCGTTTGTGAAATGCGTAATCCCAACTCGAATACCTTCCTGCGAGGCATCAACTGAATCATTAAGGAGTAAAATGGTTTTCGTAATCGGCGCACCCTAAATCTCCTTTCATCGTCATTACTCATCAGTAAACAATTGTTAAGCTTTTTGTACTTGCCTGACGCTTGGTGTCTTTTTCACGAATTCCAAGAAGCGCTTCCATCCGAAATTTCAGCTGAGCTTTGGATTCGTGCGTCAAAGGGGCACACTATCCGGAAATATTTGTTTCTAGGTATGGTTCATCGGCCGATGGGCTTTATCACACATGTTCAGAACTTAAAAATATTGATTCGGTTGCGAGCAGCTGAGAAATCTCAATGCTACTCATGGGCCACATCAAAAAGACAATTAGGCCTGGCTCAGTTGTCAGGTTTATCGACCGACTTCGACGCGGCTAACACAGATCGACAAGTCAAAACCTCAAAACTGATTTGTTGCGCACAAATTTTAAATTGCAAGCTTATAAGCACATTCAGGGCAAGGCAACTTACGTTCAGGGGCAGGATTTTTATAAGTGCGGTTGCGCCATTAGCGTCAGCTGCTGAAATACGGATTACTTTCTTATCACAGCTGAGACAAGAAAGCTGGCAAATTTCGTAGCATGTCTCGTGCTTTTCTACTGCCGCGTCTTCCTCATTACATGTACAATATTGACAAAACTCGTGAGTTGTGAAGCAAATTTGCGAGGAACATTTTGCAGGTAGATAAGACAGGGTTGATAGGTTTATTTGTAGTAGAGTAACGGTGAGAGTTATTATATACATATATATATATATATATATATATATATATATATATATTGATGTATGCACATAGATAGATAGATATACAGATATATGGATAGATATATCTGTCCATTGTCCTGGTTGTTCTACAAAGAATAAGGCTATTGGTACCATCTTACCTACTGTCTCATTGACAAAACTGGTGGAATGAATTCATCAAATAACAATATCTGTAAAATGCAATTAGACATAAATTTTCCAGTAAACAACAGCAGATTCTCGACCTTGATAGTGTCATTGCACCCTTTTGGGAAAGCCTTGTAATGACCAGCTAACCTGAGATGACCTTGAGAAAAACGCCATTACAGCTCAATTTCGGGCAACATTGCTCGTTTCGACAGTCCCAGTGAGCAATCGTGACGTCATCTGCGCTAAACAGCCTACCGTTGCTGCTTGCTGATCACCCAATCATTCATTACGAAAGTCACATGAACCCTAAAAGGTTACGTTGGCCTATTATCTTTGGGTGTAACCGTAAGCCTAGCCGAAATCGGCCACACGAGATGGCTCGTAATGTATTACCAACTTGAGTACTCCGCTCCGCAGGACGCCGACATCTCGGAAACGCCCGCACTCACCCGGCTCCTCTCCAACAGTCCCGCTCCCCGCGACCTGGCGACCCGACTCCTACACGGGGTTACGTGGTCACGGGTCAATCGCCGCGCGCCAGGCAGGGCTGCGCCCCCGGCGCGCGCACCGAGCAAGGTGGCTGGAACCGGCGGCCCGGAACGGTCCGAACCGAACCGGATTGGACCGGCCAGGCTGGCCGGCCCAGCATCCAACAAGGGAACGCATTGCTCCCACAGGCCCTTGCATGTGGGCAGATGTGCACGCACACGCACACAACGTAGCGTGTTGGGTTCATGTACTTCGACACGTTTTACGCAGACGTAGAAACGTTTTAAAGAGTGGAGCCAAGCTCGGGGTATACTTATGCTAGGAAGCCGGCCTGGTGGCAGGGGTAGGGATGCAGAACATTGTCCATTTATAGTTTATAAGAGACACTCTGGAAAAAATTTCATGATTACCATGCTAGAAATACATGCACAGCTGCTTCTCGCTGGTACACAATCTTGCCTATTCGACTCATCTATGCGATCCGGCAAATAGGACTACCGAGCTCCTTAAATTTATTGTTTTTTCAACGTTGCTTCCCCGCGGAGGCAAAATTGCGCAAGCGAGTAGACGTTGTGGGTCATTGGTGACGCATCTGCAACCTTAGGGTAGACACCAAATTACGACTCAGGCACAGGCAGGTTAGCATTTTGTATGCGCATCAATAGCCAATAGCGCGTCAGCATTGTCATGCGCCCAGATTTCGTCGCCGGCTTTTGAAGCGATAAGATTTGTCGCAGCATTTTAGGCGGAAACAACTTCAAAAGCTTCAATACCGAATGCCGGTTCGGTTCAAATACCGAATGCCAAAAACCATGTGACGAAACCCATCAAACCATAGTTTCTCCTGCAAAGAATCACAGGGTCTGTCTTTCAGATATTCCTTTCTGGGCCTGCTCCCGTCCTTTGTAATTGGCCCGGTGGCCCACCGCATGACTGACTGCGAACTGATCATGTGACTGCTTTTCAGCATTTATGCATCAACGTCACTATTAATTTGTGTGAATCATAGATTAGACACATGCTGCAGCATCGATTTCCGAACAGCACACCACAGAAAAAAAATTCGGGAAGCTGCCTGCCTTAAGCATGAATTGGTACAACGGACAGTCATTTGCCCCTCATTCAACGTGGCCGACTTGATTGGCTTTTGTATGTAAGGAGGAGCGTAGCCAGAGCATTGCCAACAGGAGCACAGGGTTGACAAGAGACCCCTGGCGGTGATCTCCTCCCAAAAAGCTGCCTGATGTAGCTCACTTCTCAATGAGCCTTGCCGAGGGGCACAAGATTGATAAAAACCCATTGATGTTGAAGGCCCCCCCCCCCGCACACAAACCAAAAAAGAAATCGTCCGTTAAAGCTCACTTGTTAAAGAGGGCCACTGTTCTTCGTTTTATCGTTATTTTTACCTTGTTACGAGAACAAAAACAAACACCAGAAGCTGCCGTGGGATCGATTGTTTGCATTTTGAAGTCAATAAACCGCAGGGATCCCGCATTTATGAATTAAATTTCTGGCGATCTTCATTTAAAATGATTGAGTGGACTTTTTTAAACCAACAGAACTCAGAAGCCTTCGCAGTTTTTTCTTGATTTTTATAAATATTGAGGGCACCCTGAGCGCAGATTGTACATCAAAATGGGGGCTCAAGGTATATATCGACATGGCCAACCCATGTTTGTCTTGAAATGTTCAACATTCAGTTAAAAGCCCTTACTGTGAACTATTTTATAACATGGTATTAGCATGCGTACAAGCAAATTTTGCACCAATCTTGACGCCCGGCGTTGCAGTTTCGGTAGGCCGAGCGGCGTCGGCCCCGCGGCTGACACTAAACGGTGGCCAAGGAGAAGACGAAAAAGATGGCACATCCGCAAAAAACAGTTTTTAATGTTTTAGGACAGGGAATGGCACATATAAAATAAGGACTTTTGAACGCTTTAGGACATTCATTCCTACATTTAGAAAGTTGACCCAACGTTTATTTCACTTTCGCGATTTTTAGATCGATAACAAGGACGAATTAGCCTTTACAACACCGCGAAGTGATGCTGGAATGTGGTGTGGGAACTGAAAGATTAAAAACGAATCCCTATTTCTAGTGTTCCTCTGGCTGTTACTTTGGCCAGCGTCCTCAAGTCATCAAATTCATCCTCATCCTCATCCTCACTCTCGTTCTCAAAATCGCCAGAAAATAAAAACGCTCAAAATACACGCACCAGTCTGATTTTCAACTGGCTCGAATTTATTTGAAAAGACTATGGGAAGCATTATTTAGGGTCGTTCCCACGCGCACGGCGCCAGCCGCCTGGTGTTACCTGCAGCGGCTAATACCCTTC